AAAAAGACGTCCGATAAACTTGTTTCAGTCCAAGATCCCGAGGAGTGAAAGATTATTGACCACCGCACACAAGTCCAAGGAAAATGGACAGGGATCTATGCTAACGAGGTTGTGGGTGATACTTTGATCTTGTTTCAGACTTCTTTAGAGTTATGACCCCCATTGTCTCAGAAACACAGAAGTATCTTCATCTCAAAAGCTCACACTATCTTCATGATGGATACTCAGTCTCGGTCTCTGATATCTCTCCTACTACCTTCACAGGATCCTAGTTTGTACCGTGATTGACTTGCTCGCACTCGTATCATTGCAATGGATCCGTTGGCCTCTGAACAAGGTAAATACATGATAAATTATTTGACAACAACTACTTGTCTTGCTTCTTACCTTGTTCGTTGGACTTGGAAAACTGATGTGTCACTTTACGCCTATACAGCTGGTAGTGGCCACCAGTATGGTCATCCGTGACAAACACTTGGCTTGCCTATTAGTATGAAGTGAAGAAGCCTAATGCTCATGAACTTCATACCCAATTGGACTGAAGTGTGGATCCCTGATCGCCCCCACAAGGAATCGTCTTTCTTGTGAAGTTTATACCATCGTGGGATTGCCGTCAACCAATGGCGACAGGTGGCTCATTCAACGATATCTGCAAACTGTAGCTGCTACAACCAAGGTGTTCTTGTATCCTTGATCTATTATTTCTTTGACCCGCTGCCCGGGACCCGTGGGCTTTTGCTACCACAATTTTATATAGTCTTCTTGATATATCCGTGTACATAATGCCTTGGACTCCCTTTGACATGGCATAAATGACTTCTTGGGGTAGAGTTGCCTAACAAGGTATCAATACTTGGTTGCTCATGAGAGGCTCCATCATGTGGATTATTTGGTTGAGACAGACCACATGCATCTTCAAGAACATCCAAGGGATCATTTTCCACATTGCGCAACTGGAACGTGAGATGCGACGGTGTACCTGGCTAGAATGATATGGTTGCGTGTTCAATTGCTGGAGAAACAACATTGGTTGCGGCACTAAGAGCCGCAACCGATGTGCGGGCAAAATGTTCAAACTCTCTGCACGGTTCAAGGTGATAAGGTTAGAAGTAAGCCTCGGCAAGGTAAGGTAACTCTTTAGGGTTACCGGGTAAAAGTGTAAAAGGTAAGGGTCGGGTTATACGTTTGGCTATAGGGTAATATATAGGTAGAGTAAAGGTAGAGCCTCGCGGGTTACCCGATAATTGCCGATTAATCCGCGTTAAAAAGAAACGTGAACATTCTTCTGCACATTCTCCCTGATGAAACTTGTACCCGCGAAAAGCAAAAATGTGAACACTGACATAATACTCAGATCAAGATCTAGAAAATAGCAATGCACGTTTATCTTGAATTGGTAATTCCGTCCTCAATAGATCTTCTGCATGATCTCGTTAAACTTGCTAATTGTTCACTTTTCTTTCAATTAGTTGCAGTAATCTTGCAGTCTCTCTTTTACAGGGTTTATCGCTGAAGGGTATACCACGTCAGGAAATTACAGGTAGTTGCAGCACCATTTAAAATAGGATCTATCGTTGAAGGAGATAACAGGTCATAATGTAACATAGTTTAGTGACAAATTACTCCTTTAAGATTTGTATTATCTTGTGAATTGTGTTCAACTCTTTTACTTTTATACTTGCATTTACGTACTCAGAATTGTAGAAAGTATGAATTCTGATATGGTGTATGAAATGTCGATGTTGCTAGATTTGTACCACCCTGTTGAAGCATATGCATTTTTATCCGACAACATCCTTGCCTTGACACGACCATCGCTGCGTAGTTGATCCGTGTACGAACGTGTAGATGCTTTTCTGTGCCTAGATTTAATATGTAATACTCTGCGTAGGTGACCTGCAGAAGGAACTAATCGTGCAAATCCGAACCTTAACACTAGTGTTTACATTCTTTTTTATTTCAGCCCTCGGTTCAACAGCAGCAGTTGATGTACCAAATACGATTTATGCTACTTTAGGTTGCTCCTGGAGAGACTAGAGGAACAACCTTTCCTTGATTTCGCAACAAGATTGCTTGAAAAGGTTATCTATCAAAATGCTTTCTTTAGAAGCGAAGACACAAGCAGAGGAGGATTGTTAAACTTATTGTGGGTTTGAAACTGAAAGAGCATGATGAGAAGGACGAGCACGAATGAATTGGATTGAACCTAAATACTCCATTCTCCATCAAGGCTAGATTTGAGCGACAAGAAAGAGCTCCATCCAACCTACTGTACACCGCAGGTTGTTTGTTTGTGCCAAGTAGCACATGCAGCACCAACATATTCTTCACTCAGTCCGTACACAGATTCCAAAATCTTCTTTCATGGTGGCTTTTCGAGATTCAAAGCTTAGTTTTTATGTTCTATGCCGCAATGATGCTACGGTCGATCTGCGGGTTTTGGAAGTATGTATTGAGTTAACTTCTCACGGAAACATAATTCCTTTTTGACTCTAGATAGAAGCTCTCTTATCAACTATAGATCAATTGATTTTCCTCGACAGTTTTTAGGCTGCTGGCTATTGATTGCTTTTGCTCTTGCAGCCTCTTTCCATCTGCACACAGATCATCGGTGAGGTATGCGTTCGATATATATAATTGACAATTTTACCAAGACAGTTAGAATGTGAAGTATACTAATATTTTTGTAAGCCTGGGAGACCACTCACTTCTCTTCTCAGGGATGGCACTTGTGAAGAGTTGCAGGCAAAGCAATTGACAAGATGAAAAAATGACGCAGCGGTGATTAAATTTGGAAGAATAACAAAAACTCTTACTTCAGAAGCTCTGGTTCTTTGATCCACGCACCAAACATAACTCGCACTTTTGAAGCTGGTAGAGCGAGAGTGTCTGCCCTGGATGCATGCACTCTCTCAGATAGCCTTGAAAGACAAAGACAAAGGTATTCTTTCGCCACAGACAACAAGAGTTTTGCACGTCATAACTCATGGGCACACACACAGCCTGGACCTTTGTCCTCATTCACTGCAATAGTGCTCCCAGAGCTTGTTTGAAAAAGATCGCTGCAAAGCGGAATTCATTCGGCTCAACGTGCAGCAAACTCTGCCAGACTCTCCAAACCAGAATTGTGCAGATTTTTAAGTGGTCATCCATATATCAAGGTGGTTCTAAGTAGTTGTGAAGCCAAGTATCGACTTGCCTTGCATAGCTCATCACATACCTCCAGTCAAAGATTCGCATTGCCATGATCTTCTCGAAGATGTAACCTTCTGAGACTACAGTCCAACCCCAACTCAATCTTGTGTACAATGAGTGTCTCAGTTCTTGCAAGTTCAAAAAATTCTGCCATTTTTTCCACAGTCACATCCCCTATTAAGTTGCGATTACCAGACTGGTAAAAGTAAATTTACCATGTAATCCTAATAGGTTAACAGTAAGGGTAACTTTTAAACCTTTTAAATTCGTACCAGATAATTATCCTGAGACACAGGTAAAGATAGAACATAATGCTAAGTGTAAAATAAAGTTCAAGACCTATGCCTTACCCCTTTACCATACCTTGTCGAAACTTAGTTAGAAGTTGAAGGTTGCTTCCCCGACCTCTCTAAACGAAGAGACAGCACTGCACTGGGCCGTACTGCCTCGAATGAATGATTATTCGCGTGGAGGTGTGCGAGCGAGCCCTATTCGGGCCCTACAAAGACTTCCTTGTTAATAGTACGAATTTGCGTCTGCCTTTGGCCTTCTCTCGCCTCGCCTTTTATCCCCACCATACGACGACACCGCCCGCCCAGCAGCGACGCGCGGCAAGGTGCAAAAATGCTACCGCAGTACCATCCACTATACTTTGCAGCCCGTGCAAATGTGGCTCCTGGCCACAGGCGATGGAGCAAAAGGGAGCGTCCTTGGGCGCGCTCTCGCACCCATTTAAACTGCGCACCCATTAACCCTATCTATCTAGCAGCGGCTCAACAATAACGGCAGCCAGCCAGCACTCCATGGCCGGATGATCACGCCTGATCACGCCTGGCACAGACACTCCAATAACAGAATGATTTTAAAGGGGCAGTCACAGTGATAGTCATCAGACTACGTTCGTCTCCGAAGGCTTTCGAGATGAACGTAGTCTTTCCCCAAGGACCATTAATGTGGAAACATTTTAGAAGTTGTTTGATGTCATATGATCAGAAGAGAATATATTTATAGTTTTCAATAATAGTGTGGTACCAAGTAAGTTGGCAGAAGGTAGGGGAAGACTTTGTCTAGTTCATTGTATGAAACCAAATGGGGAAGATGGGGCTAGGCCCCAATATCATCTGAAAGTAAACATACACTATTGCTTCTCCCATATCCAAACTTTCTATCAAGGTCTTACATACTCCAAGTAAGCATATCACATTGACATATAACATGGATGCGTATTGCATAAACCACAGTTTTGGCAATATACAGTTACCCACAGTTTTCTCTTTGACCTTCCAGGTGTATTCTGACACAGTGTACAAGGGATCTCGTGGAATAGCTATCTGCTTTCGTTAGTTTGTAGACTGCTGTCGGTTCCATGTCATTCGTTTTGCTGTACGCCCAAGAAAACAGACTAAAATATGAGCTCATCCTGAAATTTTAATTCTTTGAGATGGGTAGAAACAAAGCATGTTTCCGAGCCCACCAAAGGGTGATGAACACATAAACAAAAATTGTACTAGTTTACCGAACTAAGTGACCGGCCTCCCCTGAAGGGGCTGCAGGGGAGTCTTGTCAGAGTTAGTATAAGTTAGGGCAAGCAGGACGACGTACTAAGACATCGGCAAGATGTAGATTACACTATCTGAATTATAACCATCGAAACTATCTGTTGTCCAAACAATCTAGACAAAAGGTTCGGTTGAAAAGAGGAGCTAAAATCAAACAACTGAAGGTGGCTAGACCAATTTCAAGCTTTCGTGGTCTGTTTGCGATGACTGAACATCTGTAAGAAATCACACCCAACAAAAGAGTCACTTTTCACAAATAGGACCAGGGCAAAATGGGATCATTCGAGGTTGAAGCCAGGGAAAGATACTACAGGGTCATTTTGTCTGTACACAAACATTAAGAGGATTCCTTCGTGTCACACTTTGGAACAGACAAAATGTTTCAGACACTGGTATGCTCAAACCCTTAACTCTACATATATGAACATATATCAAAGCTGTTCTCTTGAAATGAGCTTCCAAGACGAGCAAGTAATCGCTACACCGTTCTGTACACAAGAAATCAGAAATGAGACAGTTCCACTGCTTTAAGGATGGAATCCACTGAGTGTCGAGCCAAGCTTGTTCTCCTTAAAGCAAGCTGAAGATCTGCCACTACTCCAATATGAATGTGTTCTACAGACAAGAGGGATGTCTACTCCACAAAACGAGAGTTGAACCCAGAATTGTCACCTCATATGCTCATATATGAGGTTTAGAATGCTGCTGGTTGTTTCCCATGTGCTTTCCTTGCACCTGCTATAAGGGGTTGATGCTGCTGAACGTAGCGTGAGGGTTCGTTTTCACCCACCATCCTACCACAAACGAAGTGCCCAAAGCAGCTAAAGCAAGGAACAGGGCTAGTATTGACAGAGTATCCACGACCCTTGATATGGTTTGACTACCGGTTCCTGCAGCTGACAAAATCTTCAGCGGTATCCAATCGCAGTTTGCTGAGTAGTGCTCATGTGCACTCCAAGGAACGTCACCGACAGGATACCATAGGGCAGCTGCCATCGGGTGTGTACCTCCAATTGTGAATTGCTTATCCTGAAAGAAATAGACATCAGTAGGCATTGATGGTTTGGTCCAGTAATTTCTGGTTTCTCTTCACTAGTCCTCGCCACAATCATAAATCACTTGTTTTGCTTGGCCAAAGTATTCAACACCCATGTCATTGTTCCACGCTCATTTGATCTGAAACTAGCAGGCAGCTAGTGAACAATAAAGATGACATAGAAGAAGAGAACAATAAAGCAGACTCTTTTATTTAGAATCTCATAGGTCTGGAAGACCTACCTGTTGAACACGATCGGCGGTTCTCAGCGGTCTGGCAAGCTCAAAAATGTAAAATCCTTTCGTTCCCGCTTTCCCATAGGGAGAATCTCCTTGAACCAAACCTGGATGGATTTAATAATATTCCAGTGTTAGATTGATTTCCAACGTAGTTCTTTTCGTTTATCCATGTAATTCATACCTTTAAGGTACTGTCAGCTTACATCTAAGATATTATTATGTTAGGTAAAGATCTAAGCTATATAAATCCCACGATACAGCACGCTATGAGTGGATAAGTTCCATGAAGCTTAAAGACTAACCGTAATCGTTTTGAATACTAGTGTGAGTCCATGCACCACGCCAGTCATTTTGCGCACCGGCACCTTCCTTCTCTGCAATATCCAGCCCGGCAAGTATGAGACTAAGATATGCACTCCAACTCATTGTGGTTATTTACAACCTTTAAATAAGCTTCTGAGACGTCGTTAACGTTCGACCAAAGATATTGCCCAGGCTAAGTACTGTGGAGCTCTTGGCTACAGATATACTGATAATTCAAGGTTGAACTTACGATCATTTGGGCCGAGTCCATCAACATGACGACAATGGGGGTTCCATGAGTACATATCGTTCAGATGCCCAAAACTGCAAAAAAAAAGTGGAGAATACAATGAGGTGCCCGTGCCGGTACTCCATGATCAGCATATGATAGCACTCCAGAGAAGAACTGAAAGAAAGTGCAAGTGTTACTGTAGAAGTTCATCAAGAAATTCAAGTAGAACAGTGAGAAGCAGTATCCGAGGTACTTCGTAAATGGTTATGCTAGCATAATTCATTCTGGACGCAGGAAGGGCACGATTACGATGTAGCAAGCTTCACCACACCTGTCAGCGCCTGTGCCGTTTAAGTTGTCAAGAAGATTGGCTCCGTAAAGACGACCAGGGATAGCAGAGCCAATAGAAAAATGCATTATATCAACCTCGTGTCCCGCACACGTAGAAGACGTGCATGTATCGGGCTTCTCAGAGCAGCCACCCATCTGATTGACCACAAAACACATATAAGTCAAGTTATAAACAGTCCAACGTTTACTGCTAGCCTGAAACGTTTACGCTAGGCAGGGAAGACAACCGAATCCGAGTTTAGGGATTAGATTCTATCCTTTATAGGTTTTTTTTTTTTTTTACATACTCTTTGAACTGACACCAAGAGCAGTAACTTGCTCTGATGGCTTATAGTGGCCTGAGGCGGGATAAATTCGAATCGCTTACATTATGATAGGTTGCATCATCTCCTACACCGAACATCAAAGCTACAGAAGGACAACCAGTATTTAGCCTGCAAACAAACAAGCACAACCAGTAAGTGTTCACGGCGAGGAAACTCTTCCTCGGTCCAAATATAATTGTGGATCTGCATTCGGGACATGTCATATCTCATCTTCAAGGTTGAAATTTCTAGATTCGAGAAAAACCATATAAGCGATAAGATATGCACAGGCGACCTCATGTTAGCAAGCTCCAGCTCGTGTTCTCATAGATGGAACATAGGCGGGTATATGGGACCGCTGGTATTTGACAAGTTGATGTTCTTTCATCGTAGTGTTACTTTATCGAATCTCCCGATATCTTGAAAAAAGGGACATATTAAACTACTCGTAGATTAGATCTAGAAGCAAAGAGGCTGATATTTCGTACCCATCTTCGTAAACGTAGTCTCCAGGAACCTCAAGTAGGAAAAAAATATCACGACCATCGTGCACTGTCTGAAGAAACAAGTACAGCCCAACGCCTGATACGGTGTCAGAAGCACTAGCGGTCGGTGATCCATGCAACTCCGGCTAAGAAATCGAAGAAAGTGGAAATTTGAAAACTTCCAAAACGGGTCCAGCGAACTTTTCACTTACGATCGAACCAAATATGCAGCTTCGTGCGCCGAGATTGAAAAATAAAGTACGAAATAAACCAACCTTGATTTGCATCCGGCCCGAGTCCTGGGGATAAGGAGCTTTAGGATCAGCAGTTATCGCCTGAGTGAGAACAAATTGGTAATACGGGATACCAGCCCAATCCTTAGAGTCCGCATCGACCGTGATGGTACCAGGCCTGAAGCCCGACTGGACAGTCAATCCGGCATCAGTTTTACAGGGCGCGGCCGGAGCTCCATCATTATGCGCAACACTCAAAGAAGCCCAGCTAAGGAGAACCAGAGCGATGACCAGAACAGGCCAACCCACAAACCCGGTCATGGATTCAGACTTCAGAATCAGCCGCAGCAGAAATATTCACAACGCCACAACTCTGCAATTCTCAAAACTCTAAGAATCCTGCCCCACCCAGTCACTCACTCACTCATTCCTCCCCGATAGCAAGCGAGCCAGCCAGCCAAGCACATCGAAAATTTGACCAACCGAGCCAGCAAGCCACCCAGATCAGAGGGACGAAGAGGAGCGGCCTGTGGCAGCAGCAGCGGCTAGCTCAGCGGAGCTAGTGAGAGATCGAGAGCACAAAAGATGAATATTTTGCCTCCGCGGGACGAGCGAATGGAGGAGCATAAGGCGCAACTCGCTGTCACATTACAACGAGAACCACTTCGAACTTGGGACTTATTCGATTCCTTTGCTTTCCTTTCCCTGCGCTTTCCTTCCTTTCCCTTGCCTTCGCTGGGTGTTTATTCCCCTGTTGTTAGTCGAGGACGAGACGACTCGAGGAGCGGCGTCGTGCACGATCCATCGCGATTTCACAGGACTTTCATCCCCCGACGGCAAACAGTCAGTGCCATGACGGTCAGCCTGGCCCGATTGACGGCCCTGGGGCTCGTGAGCTCGGGCAGTTGGTGGGGGTTCAGATCGGGCAGTCGGTGCTTCGTGCTAAGAACATCCGGTCTAGGCGAGGCTTGGGTCGGTGTCCACGGAGGAAAATGTTTTGGTGAATTCTTTAAGGTTTTCACATTTTACTTCATGTCAGCCTCCCTCCCTCTCTTTCTTGAGAAGGCACTCTTTTGTTCCACCTTTGAAGATTCAAGTCCTGTTTATGGACGTCTCTGATATTTCTGGCATACAATCGCAAAAGGTGGTCTCTTTTCGAAGTAGTGCTTTACTCCTTAAAAAATTTACGGAGATAGATTTTATTTTAATGCATAGTCTAACTCATACCCTCGGTTCTTCCAAGATTTCCACTGTCCTGTGCTGTTTACATATGTTTTCATCAATTCCACATATAGCAATACTATCTCACAACCCTATACTAAATTTTTCATAATGACTATGTCGGTTGTACCTGCATCTGGCCTAAGATTATACTAGAATGGACTTTACATAGATGGTTCATGGAATGGATTATTGTTCTTGGATACATTGATTCACTTGCAGTTCTTTCATCATGAGAGCTCTCTTAAGAGCCTGTCTTCTTCAGGTGCATGCTCAAGCGAAAAGTCTTGTAGCTTGAATTATTTTCCCTTTGGAAGTAAAGTTGAGGATCTAACATATTGCAACCACTTGGATCTGTAAGGAATATTTCAATGCTCTCGCTGAAGTGAAAAAGATCTCATCAAGACTGAACCGTGTTCGGTGACTTTCTCCCATGTACTTCAGTTAGCTTTGCATATGCGGTGATCTATGCAAATTAGTGCACCTCACATTTTTCGATTAATACTTTATTTTTTTTAAACCACCTTCAATTACGTACACACCAAATCTTCCACACAAGCAGTTTCCTTGTTGATGGATACGTGGCATGCAATATGTCTATCTAACATAATGCATTCTCAAAGCCATTGCAGATGCCAAGTTATTACTGTATTTTACTGACGTTACTCATTTTAGAAAGAACGGAGAGAAAGATGTGGAATTGGTTGCGAGGGTCCGATATGAAATTCTTGCCTCAAAGAAAAGAACATTACTTAAAAAGTGATGGTTCATAGATGTATTGAATCAAATGTTTCCGAACATGGATACAGTATACGTCGTTAGGTGATCCTCTTGCCTCGTAATTTGAGGGAAAGAAAACATGACACCGAGTATTTCCTTCTCAGCTATGTTTTCTGGAGATTTGTGAAAAGAATTAGAATCATCTAGGGTCGCATTCCTCATCTTCGCACAAGGGATTCAGAGACGATCCAAGCTCAGTTGCAATAAGAGTTAAAAAAATGTTTTAACGATCACAATAAAGAATTTCGTTACAGGAGAGACGTCACAGTTCATCTGAGTGTTGAATGTCGACGAGAGGATTGAGATGACGAGGCGGTGATCCTTCTTCGGAAAGTAAACTGAGATTGCGAAGAAGACATAAGTTCCCCGAACCTATTTTGAATCTGCCTCTGCACTTTTACTGTTCTACAACAGCCCGTCAAGTTGTCTGGTTTAATGACGACGGTAGAAGTAGGGATTAGCGTGACTGCGGGCCGCAGTCGGCCACCCTTCCTTGTACTTGAGTTGAGTACTATCTGTACACACTCACATACTATACTTCGTCCAACAATATGTCAGGTGCTGCTGTTGATTCGAGGTATCGGTGGGAATCAAATCGAGGGTCCATAAGGATTAAGTACAATGTTGATCGAGATTACAGGTGTGTCCGAGATAGAAAATGCAAGGTCATACAGATCTGTTATGTACTAACCTCATGTAAACTCCATGAGATATGTTATCTACTTTCCATCTCACAGGTGTGAACATAGATGAAAAGCACGCAAAGGAGTTCATGAAGCACTCGAGTACTTGTGTTCGGTGTTAAAATAGTCTTCGTCCTGTGGTTTGGCAAACGCTTTACACTACACCATCTGTCGTACCTTCTCGTCTGATGAATTGTGAAGCCTTAACATTCAGAAGTAAGCTCAAGTTAGCCGGGAACATCGGAGAAGTGCAGACTGAGTTTGTTGTTTCTTGGAGTTCCCAAAGACAACTAGATGCTTCCATCTAAAACGCTTCTGACTTGCAGCTGAAATCAGAAAGGATAAGGTACAGTCACTTCATGTGAAATTGCTCACCTGCAAACCAAAGTTGTATGGAGGTCCGACTTTCAGAAATCATGCAATTAGCCTTCATGTCAGCAAACAAAAACCACACACATTATATTCAGTTGTGTGTCTAGCACTACTCAAACCATCACAATCTCACCCATTTTCAATAATCACAATGGCACCGATGGAAAGATGTAGGTACAGAAAATTGGAGAACTAGACGTTTTGATTGTGGGGGACGGCCAGTTCTTCAAAGTTGGTATGCTGTGCTTTGTCGAGATACCACACGTGCTCAGATAACAACCTGAAATTACAAGTACGACAACAAGGGTCTGTAATGAAAAGGCTTGAGACAAACAGAAAATGGGATTTTGGAATACCACATACAGAACACATAATATACACTACTGAGACATAGTAAAAGTTGCCCATATGTACGTCATGTAAGAAATATGAAAAGCTCGTACAACTCTTTCTTACATTCTTACATCCATCAAATGAGCTTGACTAAAACCATTTACGAGCAGTCTTCAAGCGCAGAAAGAATCAGAAAATGCTGCAATTTGAAAGCTAGAAACATCTTTCTTATGACCAACATTCGCCTCTAGGAATGACTCAGATGGTAAATTCCCCATATCTTTCGTGAGATCATACCATAACAGAATAACAATTACAAGATTTCTATACTTGAATCACACAAAGCCTTCGCTACATCTCTAAGAAGAAACTTTGAATCTTGCTTTCACGTCAATAATCTCTCGTAATCTCCAAGATTAATAATCGCAGTTCACAGTTATTGGCGTTTAAACTAACATCAAATTTATGATGTACAATCTGGTGTTATTCAGCTGCTATTTCGCATGCTTTGGAGATAAATTACGCATGCACCCAAAGAAGACTCCATATTAATGCCATGAGCACCATCCAGCAGCATTCTCATGACGCAGATGTAAACCAGTATAATAGCCCTTGTAAGTCAGGAATTTGCTGTTTCATACTTGAAATGAATGCACGATCTACAATTTACAGTAAGGCTCCCCTCTCTTGAAATAATTGCGTGAAGCGGATACTTAATACAAATTTCTACTCAGCTCATCCATCATTCCACGTCCAGCCTCAAAATTAAACATTTCAAATTAATTCCTCCAAACCTTATTCACAGTTGTAGCTTATAATCTTCACATCCGAAGCTTTGGTGCTCCTCAATACTCCTGGAATTTGAACCCTTTTGAGATGAGCTCCATTGATTATATCTACGTTTACCCCCATCTAAGGCATTGATCCTTGGCTGAAACATGACGAGATCAACCAGCCCATGCTTTCCTACCGAGTCACCAAGAGGTATGATCGACCAGGTCTTCTCCTTCAAATTGCACATGAGTAGATGAGACCTTTGCTTTTTGTCAAGAAGACATAGATAATCCCCACTTGCAGCGCAGCAGGCTTCATAAGGAAAGATAGTGACCACAAATTCCCATAACAAATCTTCTGGCATTCTCTGCACCTCGATCCAGTTCATGGTCTCTTCTTCAAGCAGCCACACACAAACGCTGGGGTACTCTCCTTGAACGGGGTATGCTCCATCCAGGTTCCGTGAAGCCCACAAGGCCCCAAACAGCATCAACCGACCGCGGTTTTCGAACAAGAAGACGAATCTAAAACGCCCTGGCATGCTAGATTGCACAACATTACTCTTCTTTAGAGCTAGATCATACACAACTAGTTGGTATATTGTGTCCTCCCCACGTAAGTTATCACCTCCCTTTAAGTAGTATAAGCGACCATTGTGCATTACTGGGTGCCCACAAAGTAGGAACAGTCGAGGATTGAACTCATAGCCGGACTCCCACTCGTTGGTCTTAGAATCGTAAACCACAAATTTGTCTGCCTCAGTTACTTCCAGAGTGCCATTATAACCTTCTGTCCATACAGGATCGTGCTTGATGATCTTGAAGCTTGGAGGGCTCATCCGCTTATCCACGAGCAGTGCCGATACTCTCCCAGCGTTATGGTAGATGCCAAGTGCAACCACGGGCTCTGATCCCTCACAACTCGGCTCCTCGGAAACAATCTTAGGTATCTCCTGCAGTGGACCATCACTGAATGGATTGGTGATGATGGCTCGTTCTAGCTCGTAGTCCTCCAACAGCAAAAAGCTCTCCGCACATGAAACAATCTCATGGGTGCGAAATAAAGGCAGAGACCAATAGTGCCACATCTTCTCGGCCAAGTCGTACATGAGCGGAGTTCTTTCAATTGGCCCAGGGAATGAAACAATGCACCACGGTGCAAAAGTTGGAAGTTGCACATCCTCAACTATAGCCTTCCAAACCCTTGATGTGGCACGCAACCTGAGAATGCTGCGAATAGACAGCCTTCCAAGAACATTTTCCAAAACCCCGACAGGGAAATCTTCCAAGCTTTCCACTTCTTTCCTAACCTTGAGTTGCTCTTCCTTCTCCTCCTCTCTCAGTTTCAAATCAGCATCCTCTACCTTCCCTCTGTTTCGATCCGAGACCGAAGCCACCAGTGGTGTTCCTGATGACGATGCAATGATAGTAGTCATCTTGCTACAACCAGTACCACCCAACCCTCTACAGATAGAGCTATGTACACCTTAAGCCCAAAAAATTCGCTGGAACCCCAGGTTTGATCGTCAATGTCGAAAATAGACTAATCGCATGAGCCACGCCCAAACCACAGAACCATGCTGATGAACGAAATCAACACGTTCCTCTCGGTCTACAAACTAGCAAGCCGACTGCCAAGCCTACGATTTCAGAGAGGAGATTCTCAGCTTAACCAGTGCCACAAGACTGTAAACAATGAAGTGAGCCTGTATAAATTCCATGTGCCAATAGGCAAGAGAAACTCCACAAAACTCCTGAAAATTCGCGGGAACTTCTTCCAAAATGGTACGAACAAACTAACGACCGCCTATCCTCTCATCTTCCCGACTACCTGTAACTAAAATACCAGCACACTATCTTTGTCGGCAAAAGGTTGTCAAAACTCACTGCAAAATTCCACCTACTTCCGATTTTCCACAGACGAGACGCATCAGCGTAACCCGTCAACTCAATCTAAGAAAACCTCGCACAGTGTCTCGCTCGCATCACATAAAATCACACAGAATCAATTCCAGGCAAACTCTTCATCTCCCCTACAAGGCCGGACTCACTGACAACTAGATTTGAACACAGAATCGATCTCATGGCATCACGCACTCGCCAATTTTCACTTCCCAACCCACCTCCCTTCGATCCTCTTGAAATTGGATCTGATATCTTAGAGAACGACTTGACTGGAGCGGAGCTTGTGGGCAAGAATGAGACGACAGAGGCGAAAGAGGGGAAAATAGGAGAACAAGGGGCGACAGGGGAGGAGCTCCTATCGTACGTTTGTTCGGTGTGTGTCTGAAGCTTGAGATGTCTGCACGATATTGGTGATGGCCATGACTCACTCCGTCGTACATGCCCCGTCACGTCATACATGCTTGCTTACTTGGATTTCCACACGTGGCCCCTGCAGTCCCTTACATGTCGTTTTCTTTCCTGCCGCGCGGCGAAAAATGATATGTTTGCCTCCTCGGTTCCCTTTCCAACCTAGGGTAGTCAGGAAACACTTATTCCAGATTCGTTGACCATCGAGATCTAACAAAGTCTCCAGAGTAGAGAACTGGACTTGCGACCAAGCATGGCAACAATAAAATCACTTCATGATGGATGATAAAATCACTTCATGATGCGACTCATTTTTGGAAAAAATTTAATGTTGTTAAACCCTAAATTTCAAAGTCTATGCATAATTTTCAAGGATGAATGAAAAAAGAGCTTATTCTATCAATGGTAATACACACAAACACGAATAGTTTTTAAACAATTAATTTTACAGACAGTTAGAATAGTCATGTAAGAGAGAAAAATTCTTTTGAATCCATAGAAGGTAACAATGATAGGTCGGCATATGAAAGCTCTAAGATTTGAGTCACAGGATTAGGATGCTGATACTTTTACTTTTAAGGTGATGCACACCGTGGCAAAGAAGTTGTAATTCTCGATGTTGGAATATGAACTTCTTATGTTTGGGAAACTCATCCTCGATAATGGGGTTTCGAAACCTCAATAGGCTAAAGTTTGTGACATCTGTGAAAAAAATTCAACAGGACATAAGTTATCACAAGTACTGATAAATCGGGAGTAGATGCAGATGGAGCAACAACTTGATCGGAAAGATGGATCTATACTCTACATTCTCCACAAGTACTGATAAATCGAGAGTAGATGCCGAGGGAGCAACAACTTGATCAGAAACATGGATCTATATTAATCTATACATTCCCGACGTCATTTGCACACAATTGCGATGTTACTTTCTCTACTTTTTTTGTTCGTTTTTTACATGTACAGTACCATAGATACATGTGAAAGGCAAAAGTGTGATCGTTGTTAGTATCTTATTCACAAAGATACTAACACGACTTGCTCCAGATATTATTTTGGGATATAAGCTTGAAAGAAGTCATTTGTATGATGTAACACATGTGTATTGAAACTATTTGGTAATATCCAAATAGAAAGAGTGCATAAATGGATCCCATAAGATTTTGTATCACTTCTTTATACTTTCATTTCAAAGTAATTCAATATGTATAAATGTTTTGATCTCCACATTTTTAAAGAAGAAATTAAAATTTTTGATTAAGATCATTCATTTATTATCGTTCAAGCTTTACTTGCAAATAAGTAGTTGATACATACCTCAAATTATGAGACTTTGAACTTTTAATAATAAAATTTATGTTTTTTAAATAAATCATTTATATTTGTTTTGAACTAAGTTTTTTAAAAATATATGTGTGTTATTTTGTATAATCAAGAATGATTATAACGTATTTTTTAATTTATAAATCATGTGAATTTCATTTTTTGTTCATCACCCTGTGTGTTAAAAATTTCAAAATTTTATACATTTTATGATCAATAAGAAGAAACTTATGTGCAATCACACACAACAAATCAGTTATGAAAAATGCTAGCAAATCTTAATAAAATATTCAAACCAAGTTGTTTGATTTCATAAAAATTTAGTAGAGTAAATTCAAAAATATGTTTACAACATGCATTTTTACTTGAAGCCATTTTTTTCATCATTCATGTTAAAAAATATAGATTTTAGAAAATATTACGTAGCAAGGTGAGAAGAATCATATGAATATAATTACAAACAGTGAAAATGATATTTGAATCATAATAATTTATTTTGATAAAAAGTAGAGAATTAATAAGAAAAAAACAGAAGGATAAATTCAAAAGAAAAAAATATCAATGAATACTTATTAGTTTGAAATCTCAATTATTTATGAAAGTCAAATTTTAATTTTAAATATTTTTATATTTTATTATCTATTTGAAAAAGGTGCATGGAATTTTTGTTTATATTCTAAAATTTATTATATAGACTTGAATATAATGATGAATTCATGTTACAGAACAAATTTTGCAAGTATCAAAACATGCTCTTCATACACATCCTCATCAATCTGTCAATTGAACAATCCACGTCTTGATGTAGGAATTATTCTGATAATAATAATGATAATGTAAATTTCTTGTAATTAAGAGTGTAGGGTTTGAACTTCACATACTTATGAGTTCGATTATCATTAATTAACTCATTTAATCATAATGATATAACATGAAAATTTGAATTAATTGATTATGATCTAACTGTCATCATATAAAAAATTAATGATCTTATCATGGATAGGTTTAAAAGTTAAAATATATATTATAAAAATTAAAATTAATGAATTTTTTTTCACAGAAATAAAAAAGTATTTATGTTAATGATCCATTTTTAGGAAATTTACTTTGCTCTAGTCTTAAATATCCAATTTTGAATACTTGATGTAAATTTGAATTATACTTTCAAAATCAAAATTTTGATACTAGAAGTATTGGTGTATGATGAAATGTTTTTAAATATAGAGTAAAATGTATATCTAGCGTAAAATTAGATTGTATGAATATTTTTGCAAGACAAAAATTATATATCTTAACTATACATTTTTTATACCTTAGTAGCCCTATTTTTTTTTTTGGAATCTTCATTTTACAACATAATCTCAGTAGAAGCAAAAAAAAAAAGATTTAATATTTATATATGAAATTAGTTTTTTATTTAACTCAACAATACTGAATTGATTAATATGAACTGAAAAAAAAATTCATTTACTTCAAATTTTTCTTTTTTACTTCTGATATTTTTTTATCATTATTTTCACTATAATTTAAAGTGTTCTTGATTTGTTGTTTTGTATGTTGGTTTTTTAAATCTCAACTATTATTGCGTTTATGTTAGATTGTTTATATAAATCTGTGTTATTATATTTTATATTCATTGGTCTGATACAGCGTATGAAGATGATTGTTAAGGTTTCCCACATAAATTTTTTTGAAATAGAAAATCATAACAATATTTTCATTATTTTTTTTGTTATTAAAAAGAATCTTATATTTTTATCAAAAATCCATAGTAATATTAAATTTCAATCTGAGTAATGCAAATGTTAAATAAATATATCAAATTTATTTGAAATTTATGCAATAAAGAAAAGAATAAAATCAATATAATTAACAATATGATCAATTCAAATCATGATTTGTTCATCTTATGGCAGAATTTATGACACAAGATACATGAGAAAATTATGTTTGTTCTTTTATCAAAGTTATATGTTGAACACTTTCAAATCAAAATTGTGTTTTTTTTCATTTGAGGTTTTCATATGCAATTGTTAAGCTACAATGAAGCTTGCGGACTTCCTCCATTTGTTTGATAGTGGAGATTAGCTAGTTATTAGTTTATGGTCAAAGATAGTAGCATGAGTAGGCTTTGCAAGAAACTTCCTTGTACCATGTAATGAGGGTATTTAACGGGCTCGCTCGTGAGAATCTACACCTCCAATTCACTCTTGGTATGCACTAATCAAAAGTGCGCTGAAGTCATCAGTAAGGACTGAAATTGTAGTTGGTTGAATAGTCGTGTTAGTACCAAATTTTTAACATGTATTGCATGCTCTTCACAGCGTACATTTCTTTGCATTGCATTGCAAATGGATCCACATTTGTTTCCGTATCCAGGACCGTTCAGTTGTTGTCTAGAGTTCTTGTTCTTGAGAAAGTCGGCGCTAGGATTGCCAGCGGCGGTTGGTGTTCTGTTACCTCCCTAGTGGGGAAAAGAAAAAATAGGTTTTTGTTCTCGTTATGATGGCGTTAGGGTTCTAGCGGCGGCTAGTGTTTCACATTCGCCGTCGTGCAACGTGTTCGTCTCTTTAGGATTTGGGGTCACTTTCTCTTAGTTCAGATGCTCGTCTTGTTTGGAGTCACCGTTTCACCGCCACTCACTGTCACATTGCTTTCTGCTCCTTTTCGTTCTTCAAACCTAGAGTCTTCTAGATTAAAGTTGCCGCTGCTGCACACTCTCTCGATTTTCATTCAATTCCTTCTATGTGCTCCCGCTTTCATTTGCTACTTTACTACTGGCGACACTAATTTTTTATGAGTTAAGTCATTTTCTTCGAGGTCGTTTTCTCTTCTTAATTTTCAAAAGTTTCTGAATTGTTCATTCTAGAACGAACTTCTGTATCATAAAAATGTTGACAAAACGGGCCTTCTGATTTCCAACCCGCCTCGGCCGGCGCTCATCTGGCTGGACCTCGCCGGTATCGCCTACAGGCTGTAGCCATGAATGAATGTCCTTTTAGGAAAATGATGAATAATACACCTACCGAGACGAAAGCCAAACGTGTTTCCCGTAGGTGGACGTATTGAACCAAAATAATCTCTAAAATTTAAATCTTGATACAACAAAATTTTGCTTACTTTCAGTATCCTCAAAGCTACTCGGTTGCGCGACTGTTTTCTACTTTGAATCCGCTCTCTTCCGTCTATGTCTGAACTAGAGTAGTCATCATAGCTCCGTCTTCACCTATTTGATCTTCCCCAATGATATCCTCTTCAGAGCTCCAATCTTCAGAATCAGACTTAGAAGAAGAACTATCATTTGTTTGGTGTTTCTTCAACGGCTTCAATTTCTGTTTCCTACCCCTACTCTTTGGATTTTTTTCCCTCTTGCAATCACTACCATTGTCGCTCGACTTCTTGCTCTTGAACTTTTCAGACTTTGTCTTCACATCACCATGTGGTACCTTTTGTTACGAAGTAATTTCATTCGGATTGTGCAATGCTCCAACTACTTTTCAAGAACTTATGAATAAAGTTATGAAACCATTCTTAAAACATTTTGTACGAGTATTTATGGATAATTTTGGAATTTATGCCGATCGGATCAAACACTTGGAGAAGTTAGAGAAGTTTTCTGAATGCTTGGAT